AAAGCTGTAAAAAATACAAAAATACAGAATTTACACCCTCCTTCATGTTTCCTAAGCTCTCCAGTGTGCCAGATTGGAGTCTTTGCCAGGCCATTTCTGGCCCCCAGGCCTTGTGTTTGACAGCCCTGATATAGACAGTTTATTTACATTCTGTATCTGGAATCAAAGAGCAAATCAGCACCGTATATTTAGTTGTTATTTCATTAGTAAAAAAAAAGTGGCTTATTAAGTGTATCTTTCTGATGACTGTTTAAAGTCGTGAATATGATTTGAAAACCAATTCATGTAAGATTCTTTCGAAAAATGTTGGGATGCAGCACATTTTATACGTAATCAAAATAACCAAAGGGAGCACACACTCAATATTAAAACGTTATTGTTGAAAAATGTATTTAATGACAACATCACGTTTGGGGCAAAAAAGAGCTCGAGGTGTATAAATAGTCTCGTATTCTTCTTTCAGTGTTCTAAGCTTATGTCTTTCTTTTTCACTGTTTCTTTCCTTGGGTCTCTTGAGTTTAGTCAGCTACTTTAACCTGCTTGGATTACACGCTTTATCTCTGGCAGTACTGCTCATGTCTGGTGTAACTCCATGCCTTTCCAGATATTTTGCATTGTGCATTTGAGTCCACCTCTCACTATATAAAATATTCAACATGCCTATGCTCTTTCACTGTAGCATCAGTTTGTCTTCATGGATGTTGAGATTGCGGGAGAAGCTGCGGGGAGGTTAATGTTTGAGGTGAGCCAACTTTGACACATAAGGCATAGGATCCAAACTCATTTGCATCCTGCTACTTTTCAAATGATCTTTTAAAACAGTCAGTCTAAACATTGAACTCCCGGATAAGAAAATATTTGATCATTACAGATGTGATCAGATATCATGTTTCCTCTGCTCTGCTCAGCTCTTCTCAGATATTTGTCCAAAGACATCCAAGAACTTTGAGGGTCTGTGCACAGGAGAGCAAGGACTGTCACAGAGTGGCTTCCCACTCTGCTATAAAGGCTCTCTGTTTCATCGGATTGTGCCCAATGGATGGGTGCAGGGTGGAGGTACATCAATATAATGTGACATCATACTTAAATATAGATACAGAAAATTTCACGATCTGTGATATATTAAACACTCTCATAAATATGTTGATAAATTGTTTAGATAGTTTTAATGGATTCATTAAATGTATTCATTAAAGTCAGCAGTACAGTTGTGGCTGTACCTATAAATTTCGCAGATATTTCTCCAGAGAGGAAAGGAAATGGAGGCGAGTCAATCTACGGGCTAATGTTTGAAGGTATGCTCTACAGCGTTATGTTTAAAACATACTATATAACTACACTATTGGACTATGATGTCCATAGACAACATTGTGATATGTAGGGAGAGTAGGGAGTGAGTGGAAGAGAGTCTGGAGAGGTGGAGGTATGCACTGCACAAACTAGGAATGAAAGTCTATAGAAGCGAGACAGAACATGTGTGTTAATGAGAGAGAAATGGGTGGAAATTGGATATGTAAGGAGCAGAGGTAGTGAAGGTGAATAGGTTTAATTGCCTGGGGTTAACCATTCAAAGCAACAAGAGAGGTGAAGAAGAGAGTGCTGGCAGGGTAGAGTGGGTGGAGACGAATGTCGGGGGTGTTTGTGACAGAAGGAGAGCAGCGAGAGTGAAAGAGAATGTGTAGGAGATGGTAGTGAGAGCTGCTACGATGCATTGTTTGGAGACAATGCCACTAACAGACAAGAGGCCGAGCAGGAGGTGGCAGAGTTGAAGATATTAAAATTTTCACTGGGAGTGACCAGAAGGGAGATGATTAAAAATGAGTATATTAGAGGGAGAGCTCAGGTTGAACAGTTTGGAGACAAAGTTAGAGAGGCAAGGCTGAGATGGTTTGGACTTGTGCAGAGAAGGGATAGTGGATATACTGGACAAAGAATGTTGAATATGGAGCTGCCAGGCAGGAGGAAAAGAGGAGGAGGTTCATGGACGACAGAAGATATTAAACAAAAAACTAAAGTTCTATATTTCAAAGGGATGGCTGCACTTTAACATGTACTATATTTACAAATAACTTTCCACATGAATGGTGTCAGATATTTAGGCGATAGCGTGTGATCCACTGAAGTGATCCTTAAAGAAAAAGAAGAAGAAGAAGCCATCATTGATTTACTTGTGCTTCCTCTATAAATGTTCACCTGAACTTGCACGTGCCTGCCCCTCTTTTAGATGAGAATTTTGCCATTTCACACACTAAGCGCGGCATCCTGGGAATGGCTAATAAAGGTGCCCACAGCAATGGATCCCAGTTCTACATCACCCTACAGCCAACGCCATGGATGGATAAGACCTATGTTGCCTTTGGGTTGGTGTATCTGATTTTAGCTGAAAGACATCTTTTTAATTCCCACAGCTCTCACGTAGCTTCAAAAGGGAAGTTAAATCTCTTTTCTTCTCTTTTGCAGTCAAGTCGTTGAGGGTCTCGATGTCCTGAGGAGGTTAGAAGAAGCTTCAACTTGCAATGAAAGACCCAAGTATGAGTGTAGAATTACAGCCTGTGGAGTGCTTAAACCAGAGCTCATAAGCTTTAATCATTGATATATTTTTAAGCATTTTTTCCTCAGTTTTTGAATCAGTAAAATAAACGTGGTATGCATGTTTTCTTTTCCTTTTTTGTTAAATAAAAGCTTCACATTTGCATTTTGATTTTTTTTTTAAACTGCATTTTTAAGTCAATAAGCTGTTTCATTCTTTTTGATGAATTAGACACCATCCGCTATGTGCACGTTTGACAGATGTAAAGTTGATAAACTTGTTATGGGGCTTTTATTGTAATATTTATTCGTCTTCTTAGTTCATCTTCTATACAAGTAAAACCTGTGAAATTTGCTTTTTTATTGATGTGTACAGAAACTTTTACTGTGAGAGGGATCTTCACTAAAAACCCAAATACGTCTACTGGACAGAGAGCAGCAGTAGTAAGCTGACAGTTTCAACAGTTATTGGGGTTGTAAAAGGCAATTCACAGGTTATCGCGTAATGGCATAAAAACAAATGAGCTTTTACTTATGCTTAAAGGAAGTTGGGAAAATGGCATACAATTAAAGTATGAGAAGTACAGTTTATCTATTCTTCTCAATAGCCATCCTCTTCATCACTTTCTACAAGGACTGACAGAGGATGGCTTTTCTTCCTCATACCACGAGCACTGCATTTTTACCTTTGGAGATCCTTTTTGTATTATATTGAGCTTTTAACATGGCAACATTTTTTAAGATTCTATTGGCCTCCTTTATTTCATTTAATTTCTTTCTGATTAATTTTAATTAGATGCTTTTTGTAAATCCTAACTTTTGGCATAAATTGAAGTGATCCTGGGTCATTGACTGAGCATTTTCTGTTTTTTGGAGTCTTAAGTTATTTTGATCTTTAACTATGTTCAGTTTGATACTTAGTTTAGCTTTTTGTTCTAGTTACTGTTATGGTACTGCTTTCACTTTACCCTACTACCCCTTTGTTCCTCATGGATAGTCTAGTCTCCCTCAGTGAATCCCTGTTTCATTACTTTCTGTGTTATTTTGCTAGTTGTGTCCTTTAGTTTACATCTCCATGTCTCGTTATTGGATTTAGGTCACTCCTCTGTAATTCCAAAAGTGTCTCCACTCTGCCCTCATAACCTCTTGAGTGTTTATACCCTCAGTTTGTTTTGTCATACTGTGGTTAGTGTTGTTACTGCTGTTTCTTGATATCTTCCCAGGCTTTTTTCTCTGTTCCAGTGAACTTTGTTTTTATCTGTTTTTTGGATTGTTCCATTTGCACCTCCAACAGAGGTTCTTTATTTTAATCACTGCTTGCTTTTGGGGTCCTCATACAGCATTACCTACTGATGACATGGTATATCTTGACTCATTTCACTGTTTTGCTGATGATTTGCAGATTTATCTACCTTTAAAAGCAGGGTCAGACCATCCTCAGCTCCTATTACGCTGCCTTGATGACGTCAAACAGTGGTTGTCATTAAATTATTTAAAGCTAAATGAAAATAAAACTGAAGTTGTCATTTTTGGCAACTTTAATCACATCGATAGCACTCTGGGCCCCCTTTCCTCCTATTGTAAAACACATGTAAAAAACCTCGGTGTCTACATTGATGGTCCTTTTAAATTGAATAAGCAGGTGAGTGCAGTAGTTCAGTCCTGCTTCTTTCAGTTAAGACAGCTAGCCAAGGTAAAGCCATACCTCCCGGCTAACGTCTTTGAACGTGTTAATCATCTTTTCCTTACTTGCAGATTGGATTACTACAATTCATTGTATTATGGTCTAGACCAGGCCACCATCCATCGTCTTCAGATGGTCCAAAATGCAGCTGCTCGCCTGCTAACTGGTACCAAACGGAGAGAGCATATAACCCCAGTTTTAGCTTCTTTACACTGGCTTCCTGTCTCCTACTGGATCCAATTTAAACTTTTCCTTTTTGTTTTTAAGTCACTTAATGCCCGAGCTCCTCCTTACCTGTCTGAGCTCCTCTCTGCTTATGCTCCAGGAAAAACCATGAGGTCTAGCTCAAAATTAATGCTGTCCATCCCACAGACTTACCTCAAATCTCATGGTGATAGAGCCTTCTCTGTGGCAGGTCCCAGATTTTGGAATAGTTTCCCCCTAAATATTAGATCTGCACAAACACTTGAGCAATTTAAATCACTACTAAAGACACATTTTTATGCCCTGGCTTTTAACACACCATGACCCAAGCATTCTGGTCGTATTTTAAATAGTTTTAGTTATTGTTTTAATTCTTTTATTGTCCTATTATTGTTTTATATAGTTATTATTGTATTACATTGTTGCTTTTTAATGCCATTTTTATATTGTTAAGCACTTTGTGCAGCATCGGCTGTTTGAAATGTGCTATATAAATAAACTTGACCTTGACCTCCCATTGCCAAACCTTTGCCCTGCATACTTCGTGTGTTTAAGTAAGATATATAAAAATGTCTGACCACACTGACAATGTTTACCCCACATTTGGTTGTTGACATCTGGTCAGCATATCCGCAATGAATATGGGCATTGTATTCTTGGTAGAGACCCGCATCATCAGGATGGAAATGCTTGACTCAGAACAACGATTCATTGATTTGCAGCGACCCTTTCTCCCTGACATGGCAAGTGCAACCAAACCAAGCCACAAAATAGCTCCACAAAGCAAAACAGAGCCACAGGGTCAACACCCTGTCGGGATAAAAAGTTCAGGCTTGTCCTAAATCTGTCAACAAACTCAATATAATATTACTCACATGTAAGCTTTCCTTCATTGGCAGAGTTAAATATGTTACAATTTTAATTGGGAGGGGCTAGGATGGACAAGATTAGAAACGAGTAAATAAAAGGGACGGTTCAGGTTGAGCGCTTTGGAGACAAAAAGAGGCAGGGCTGAGATAATTTGGACATATGCAGAGCAGGGATAGTGGATGTAAAAGATTAGCTAGGCCCTCCCCGGCTTCAGTGTGAGGTTATTTTAACCGTGTTTTGAGGCACAGGTGCACTTTCATAAGGTGTTTTAAACAGGGTCTCAGCCAATCAGAAGTGCAGTCTCTTCCTCGCTTTAAGACACCCTCCTCCCTTCCCTGTTGTTGACGTACTGCCGACCCATTTCTTGATTTTTCTCACCCCTCCCCAGGAGCTGCCACATGACCTGTCAAGTAGGAAGTGTTGAAGCTAGCGAGCAGCAGCAGGAACAGCGGCGGCACGAAACGCAACACAGAGGGGTAGCTGTGAAATCTCCCGAGTCTCGTTCTCGACGCTTCTCTCAAGATACGTTTACCCCCTCTCCACCCCTGTTGAAGCAGGCTCAGCAATAAGTTGTCCGCAGTCATGTACGTGAAGGTGGTGTTTTTCGCGGTGGCTCTGGCTCTGATTGGCGCGGCGGTCGCGGCAGACTCAGGTAAGTTTTCGCGACCTCTCGTCGCCGAGCTAGTAGCTAGCTACAACCCCGCTCTTTAGCCGGATATCCACCCCCGGGAAACAGATATATCTCCCTGCCCGTTTGGCTCCATTTTCGGTCACCTCCTATTAGTTTAAAAAAATGTCCCGCTTTACGTAAAAATAAAATACCACCCACCTTATTTCCTTCTACCAGCTTGTCATCTTTATGTCCACGCTGGCCACTCAGGACTCAAGGACTAGCTAGCGTTTGTTTTTGAGCTCGTTATAGTGGGATTATTTGTGTCATGGTGCGACCTCTGAGAGGAATTGTGACACTCGCTTTAAGCCAAACTGTCATATCCATCTGACTGGGTTGTTATGAAATATAAACGGGTTAGTTTAGCCACATTTTAAGATCTTTTTACCAGCTTGCTTTGATGATCTGTGCTTAAAGGATTTAAATGTGTAAATTGGCCACCTTCTGGTGATCTACAGGGAAACTATTGGAAGTTACTTTAAATGACAAATAACCATAACTAAAATCTGATTTCTTTGCAGATGGATGTTCCGAGCTAACTTCATGTGATAAATGTGTGGAAGTCGCTGAATGCCACTGGGGTAATTGCTCATGTGAGTACCTGTCTTGTATTTTTGAAGCATGAGAGTAAAGGTTTGTATGTCCAGAAGCCTTGGGGTTTATTGGTTGCATAATTCCCAGTATAGAAAGCAATGATCTCATCCCTGTTTCCCTAAAGCCCAAGCAGCAGCTTAATGTGGTATCACCAGCTGGTGCCAGTGGATCTGAACAGGCTGGTTTTGGGAAGTAAATTATGGATGCAAGCCAAGTTTGGAGCAATGCTCTGCTACTGTTATATTAAATTGATTGTGGGGGATTAATAAGGGGCTTTTTTTTTTTCTCCCTTGGGGCATTTAGGTTTATTTTCAGTTCTGGTTGGGGTTTCGATTCCCTTCATTTCTGTGCTGCTTTTTTTCTCTTGTCATAAAGTCAAACCTGCTCTGACGTGTCCCTGATTTATACTCTTTTGCACAGCAGTTAGGAAATATGCTGCCCTAATTTGGAAGTGTGCTGGCTGTGATGTGAAATATGCGTTATTCAGTTACAAGGGTCTGCCATGACTAAAACTACATGACAAATAATTTCCTGGCTAAGTAACGGCTTTTCACTCACTACATCCTCCCCCTGTGGTTTGGTGTGTTTTGTTTTTAGTTGTTGTTTTTTTTCACACTCTTACCAGGAAATAAGGTTACAGGTTTTATGGGCAAAGCAGAGATCAAGGTATTGTGATCTTGTTTTCTAAAAATAAAAGGTCTGTTGCACAAATTGAGTCAGCAGATAGGAGTTAAATTATACAATTAAACTTCTGTCATTTTTGGGTTAAAGCACGCTACTTCTTTAATCCTCATGAGTGGTGGAGGCCCACCAGGGGGATATTAACTGTATCACCCTTGAGAACCTTGTTATATATTTGTGCAGTGTCTATGGAAGGAGACACAGCACAGGTCTCTGGTGATTTGTGAAGATGATGATCGGGAGAGGAAGTGAGGGGATGTGTGGCAGGAAGCCTGCAATATCCTTGTGCAGAGGAACTGAAGGAAGGAGCGGATAATGGCAGAAGTGCAGGAAAGAGTGTGGAGATTGGATAAAAGATAAGCTCTCTTCATTATAATTTAAGCCTCAAGTTTGAGACAAAAGTATCTGGTGATCTCAGCCTGGAAATCTTCTGCCTTTAGGCTCGGTTAAAGAACTCTTTGTAATCTCAACTGTATCACAAGTTGGGCCACTGAAGCGAAATGGCAACAGTTAAATTTAATAAGACAGGTGCCTGCGCTTTACCTCTCATGGGAGCTGACCTGTTTGACAGCGTTACTGATGAGAAGCTGTATTCAGATTAGTTGATCCCACACCCTCCTCCTGCTTTGTCTCTGAAAGGGAAACGATGATGCACACTGCCTGAAGATTTGTTGGGTGGTTAAACAGGAGAGGTGAGATGGCGGTTAGGTGCCTCTTTTCAGAGGACTGGATTGGTAGGTTTCCCAAAGGAGACATATGCCAGGGTTTACAATTTACGCATGGATGGAGAGGAAAACTCACAAGTCACAGACGCCAAAAGCCCAGAATCTTCAGAAAATATATTAAGATAGCCTTGTTAGGTTTCTAGTAATTTTTAGTTTTATTTCACAAATATTTGTGATAGCAGTTGTTTTTTTCTCCCCCACTCTATCCAAATAAGATAAGAACTCTTGAGTCATGTTTTGTCTACTTGGCCTTTTGTAACAGCTCTCAAGCCTGCTGCATTATAAAGTCCTGGTGTAAGCCTACAGCTAAACCTCTCACACAGTCGTGAATGAATCAGCTCTTCGAAGTGAACTAAGCAAAAACCGGAAAGGTCAGCTCTGGACACGTCCAAGTCGGCTTTTGTGAAATGCAGCATAACCACACTGATGTAGCGAGTAACCGCCTCCTACACTGTCATAACTAGATTTATCTTTGGTTTAGGGATTTTGTATAAACAGGTCTTCAGCGTCATTTCCCTGATGCGTGGTATTTAAAAGCTTGAAAGTTTACACGTGTGGACGCACGCTCTGTAGTGCCTTTTAAGTGCAGGTTGAGATGAGGCTATTTTCTGTGGTATGCTTGAGGCCCTGTGCGACTTACTTTCACTGACATCAATTTGTGGACGTTACCGGGTGGTGATGATAATGGCACCATTTTGGAAAAAGGCTGAGAGCGTGTCCTACCTTTTACAGCTGGCTGTGAGATAACATCTCTCTGACCTATTTGAGAGTGAAAGGAAGGAGAGGGGAAAAATGCTCTTCCTTCGTGGTTCAGCATACGTTGCCTGCAGGGTCTGGTCACACACAAGGTGTGAAATACAAGGCGGGCAAATAATTTCGAATTTACTTGCTCGTGGGCTTCTTGAAAATCACAGTTGGTAAGGTAATGAGTCATTTAAGTTTCCAGCCTAAGATTGCAGGATGTGCGTAAAAACAGGGAAGAGCTGCACATTTGTGTGTTGTGGCACAAGTGACGACTTAACAGAAGAACTACCAAATACGCCAACAATCATTTGAGCAGCACAGTGACACACGCTATGCTGAAACATTGCATCATGAGCTTGTCAAACCAGTTATTATAATTCAGTAGCTGCTTGGTAGTCGCTTGTGTCCAAGGCGCAAAATGCACAACTTGATACACAAGACCACAAAATAAGCCCTTTGTGGAGTGGAAAATACAGCTACTGAGTCATTTTTGACTTTGTTCAGACAAAGATGCTTTCAGTAAACCGCTTCAGACTCGCCTGCTGTTAAAAGTTGATTTGTCTTTAATTTATGGGCAGCCACCTGGTGAGGGTCATTGGGCTTGGCTGCTCTGGATTATAGTGTAACAAGAAAAGGTGGTGTATGATGACGTTTTACAGCACCAGGTGCAGCGCAGTGAATGGAAACCGTCCCCTTTTATGATGTTCCTGTATTCAGGATGGTAATGTCTCCATATGCTCATAAACCAATGCGAGAGCGATTTCACAAAAAGACGAGCTCAAGGGTAATTGATGGCTTATCCCATCACCAGATGTTACTGCAGCTTATTGTAACAGAGTCCTGACGGTGAAAAGATATTTCCTTTAAAGACTGTGTTAGGAATCAATGTCCTGTAGACAAGTGACAGCAAAGTGCGTGCCTGCTGTTACTCAGTAACTGTTTTTATGTCCTGTAAGATTTCCTAATAAATGAAAGCCCTGCTTGGCTCAGGGGTCAGCAACCTTTGCTATCAAGAGCCAGACTCAAATAAGTACTTATTTATTTAGTCTGTTTTTTATATTGTTGGTATGCTTAACTTGCGTTTTTACCTTCAGCTTTTGATATAGCTTATTTTTTCTTAATAGTAACAGAGCCTTTTAAGTATAAATTAACCTTATGAACATTATTAATAGGTGTAATTTAAATCTTTTACCACATGTGACCATTATGCAGTGGACCATTTATGATTTAGTATGTCATTGTTCAATAATAGAGCTAGAATATTGAATACATAAATAAATAGCAGCCTACTGGCTTGAACTGTATTTATAGTAAACAAAAAAGGAACATTCAGTAGCACATGGAGCATAGAATAAAGAGAGCAGTGTTGTTAGTAAAAGCAAGCTGATTCACTTCGCTATTTTTCCTCAAGGACATGAATTTTTTATTTACGGTCATGTTTCAGAATGAAAAACATTGCATTTCTTACATTTGAGATGCAACAGCCAGCATTTTAACATTCCTGCCAAAAAATAGCCTTCAAGTAGACCAATCATTCAGCTGGAACACATCATACACTTCAGGAGTTTAATTGGACACCATCAATTAATAATTTTTGCCAATTGATCCTTGCAGAATCGTTTCAAAAGCTTTTAGTAAAACGTGGTTCATGCTGAACAGCAGCAGTGAAACTTGCACTGTGAAGCTGGGTGTGGACAGAATGTATAGTCACACGGTGCTGCTGACAGATGTGACTCATTGTCACGTCACTGTGACACAGGCTGAGCAGTGGAGAAACTCTCACAAATTGACTGAATTTGTGGAATTTCAATTTGCTCCTGTTAATGAAGTCTGTAAAGCAGTGAATCCTGCAGCTTAACTTCTTGTCAGTATTTGGGTCTGGAAAGACTTCATGGAAGGGCAAAGTCCCCTTCTGTCGTGGTTAATAAGTAATGAGATTATTTGCTAAAATGTCATACAACTAGATGACCAAAGCCAACAGGCTGGAAAACAGAGGTGAAGTCACCTTAGCTGAAAACAATGAGGGAAAATAACTCAATGACTCTACTTTATATTTGAGGGGGAAACTTGTGTCTCCACGTTTTTGACAGCCTTAAACTGTTTTCACAAATTACCCTCCAACAATGTTTGAAGAATTAAGGCGGGGAATTGCACACAAAAGGAAATAATCCACCTCATACATATTCTCACTAATGGAAAGGCTTCGACTGGTTAAGGCGAGAGATGCTGTCCGAGTAGAGCAAGTAGGAGGAAAAAAACATGATATCCACTCACTAGCTGTGAATTCTGATGGCGATTACCATCTGTAGTCTTCCACGGGCACAATCAGACATTACATGGACTTTGACTGTATGTCTGATCCGATTGAGTCGAGTATTCAGGTACTTGCATGCAGCTCTGCAAGAAATGTCTGGAAGTTTTTGGGGCTGAAGTCCACTTTAGTTACAGGTTACTTAAAGGTGACTTAAAACGCATACGCAAGAGATTAAACCTCAACAAGCCAAAGATGAAATTGCTTCTTATAATTAATTTGCCTTTCTTTATTTCTATTTGTGGGGTTTGTTTATCCCAAAAAGTGGCAAATTCCCAAGTTACTGCAACCAAAACATTAAGTGAAAACTACAAGTTGGAAAATGAACTGTATGATATGAGAATGCAAAATGGTTTCACGAAGCAAAAATTACACAAAGAATGAAGTAGGAAACAAAGTGAAATTAAATAAAGAACCACAATAAATTAAAAAAAAGAAAAAAAACCAAGGCTGCCATGTTAGAGAAGGTGCTCCACTGCCTGTCTATTAAGTGGTGCAGCCCCCCTGCAGATTACCCTCCCCCTCAGCTTCCACAGTTATTTGGATGCTGGGTTCACAAGCTCGTGGGCAGGTGGAGGAATTCAGCCCGCACCAACAGTGATGAAAGAGAATTCCCGATCCATGTGGTATGAATGTATTACACAGTTATAGGATAAATAACAAAAACATTTTAACTGTTTCCTGTTGAAATATCGGGCATTCCACCATATTTAGATTATAAACTGTGCCTGTGTGGGTTTCCTCCAGATAACTCGGCGTCCTTTCACTGTTTCAAGATACTTATTGGGTTAAGAGGTGATTTCAAATTGCCCTGAGTGTGAATGGTCATCGGTCTCTCTGTGTTGGCACTATAATAGGTACCCTGCCTGTCATCCTGTGACAGCTGGGATAGGCTCAAGCCCTCATGACCTTCAGTTTAAATAAGTGGTGGTGAAATACTTGGAGACAACAGGTGATAAAGATTTTTCTTTACATATCTGTTTTGCTTTATTTTGGATAGCTGGGTTTTTACGCATAGTTAACTAAAGAATCTGAATACTTCTGTGATCCCTGAGAAGGTATCCAATTATCTGAAATAAATAAGTAAAAATAAAACAAACTAGTGTGAGACATGCTCAGCTTTAAAGTAAATGAAACGGAAGTGTAATGATGGCGGAGCAGAACATAAAAAGACACCATGGCTGCAGGATGTGGGGCTGTGTGAGCAACCGCTCTGGGGGAGATAAGGAATTAGAACTGCTTCACTGCAGATCAAATCGCTGTTTGTATAAATGAGATCGTCATTTGAAGCATCATCTTAGCACATATGCTTCTTTTCTTTTAGATCGAATATTATTTTAGAGTACACAGAGTGTGTTTTTATTGCTTGTGGCTGCTTTCTTTAATCTGTATGAGTGTAACTTCAGCAATTAACCGTTGCTGACACTAGTTTAACTGCTTGTGCAAATGTAATTAATATAAATCATAAACCAGTCATTTAAAATATCATGCTTTTCTGTCTTTCAGCAATTTTTGGCTGTTACAATGGGACTCTAAAAGGAAACGACTCCTCCTGCATCAACGCCAGCTGCTCTGGTAGGTTTAAAAGTAAACTGTTATTCTACACACCAGAGTGTAAATTAACATTTTACGTGTTTTTTTTAACATGATGTTTTGGGCTCTAAGAGATTCTGTTTGTCTCACTAACTAAGGTGTTGATTAATGGTCAGTCTGAGTGTCTGAGTCTTTTCCTGTTTTTCCTATTTGTTTGTGTTTGTAACATTAAAAAAATGCTGTTGTAGACTGTTTTGACATGTCTTTGTTGTTTAAGTGGTTTATCTTGCTTTCCTCTTTACCTCCTCTTTTGGTGCTGGTTCCCTGTCCATTTTCAGGCTCTGTGAGTACGCCCAATCCTACAACCCCCCATACTACTGTTGTTCCCACCACCTCTAACAGCAACACCACAGGTAACCATTCCCTGAAATCCTCAGCTTTTCCCTCCTGTTGTCTGTGCTAGAGCAGGGCGATATGACCAAAAATATTTATCACGATATACATTTGAAAATTTGCGATAACGATATAACTCACACTAGACAAAATACTTTACAACTCCACAACTTTATTAGTGCAAAAAAAACCCCCCATCAATGTATTTTCACTTAAACAAGCAGCTGTTTTATGTGCATTAAAGTTATATAAAAATGTAACAGTGCAAATTCCTTGCTGACAGTTTAACCAAAAGGCATTTCCAGTGGAAATTGGCCGACATATCCTCAGCATAACCATGTATAATATCCACAAATTATACAGAGGTTATACACACACACACACAACATATTATGTTGAAGCACAGTACCTATCACTCCGCCAGGCTCCTGACTACGATAGCCGTAATGCTCCGACAATCCATCAAGCGGTGCGGGTTCGTAGCTTAGCAAAGTCGTACTAAAACATTTGACAGATTTTCGAGCGCCGTGTAGCACACAAAATCGTTTCGAGGTCAGTAAACACAGCCAGAATTCATACATAAGGCCCATTGGATTATAAGGGGCACTGTTGATTTTCAGAAAAATCAAAGGATTGATTTTAAGTGTGCCGTATTTTCCAAAAAACATGGTAATAACGACGGCCCGCTAGCATGCTCTACCAAAAATAGTGCTTTGTTGTGTGTCTGACGGACGAAAGCCAAACCAATTCCACACCACTGAGGTTGCAGCAGTTTTACAAACCAATTCTGGTTCATCCGTTTCATTCAACTTTTTGCTTTTTCCGACGTGTGCGTATGAAAACAAAGGTACTGCGCATGTGCGTTTTACCCATATTCTATCGCGATATTTCATTTTTCTATCGTTGCCCAAAATTATACCAGTATTACCGTGAACGGTATGATATGGCCCAGCCCTAGTCTGTGCTAATGTTGAAGTGGTCTCATTAATAAAAATGTGATCTCTTAAAGTTGTAATACTTAAGAGTTTCATGGAATCAGACACTGCTTTTGATATCTAATGCTGCTGTGTTTTCCAACTAGTGGCTTTTATTGCGACAACTAACAACCGCTTTCCATTAATACCTACGCGGATCAACTCGACTCCTTACCCATTACGATGAAGTACAAACTGGCTTTTTGTCAGACTTGGGAATTGTTGTGTAAATTTTTTAATTTTTAATTTTCCATTTTCTTTGTTGCCGGTTTTCAAAAATGGCAGTTGTGATTTTTGTAAAGGAGACTCTCTCATGATTCATCAAGTGACACAAATAACTAGCCAATCTGTGGCACGTAGACCCTTGATGTCACATTTTCAGATCCATCGTGAAGAGAGCGCTGGACTCAAAACCTATTGATTGGGTTGGCCTTTCCTATAGTTTGTATTGATAATGCTGACTTGTCTGCAAACACTTGCGGTCTCTTGGCCTGTGTGAATGAAGCCTTAGGTGAAAAGTTAGATCAGAGTTACAGGGTACAATCAAACAGACAAGCACATCCTGTTGTGCAGTAGCATGGTTGATTCTGAACACAAGGCTATTGATCAGATTTCTAGAGAAAAAAAACAAACACAGAATTGAATTTTTAAATCCTCTTTAAGACTCAAGATGCTTGAGGAAAACATCATACAGAGCAGATAAATTCCTGTTGCGGGAGCTGCTCGGTGTGTGGATCAGTCTATTTTCAGGTCTGCTTAAATTACAGGCACCATACCTCCAATTCCTAGCCAACTTCACTGCCCTCTGCTTCTGTTGTTGTTGTTTGGAAAAGAACTTTCATCATATGAAGCATGAAATCAGATTTCAGTGCATCCAAACTATTAACGTTGTTGGTGTGTGCTGAATAGGCGGAGTCAACATTTAAACTGTGTCAGCTGACGCATGAATTGCTCAGTTCAAGCCTATGACTGATACAAAAACAACAAGGTCATTCCTACAGTGCAGGCACAAACTGAAAGCTAAAGTCAGTTTGTCTTTAATGCCAGCTGGTGATTGCTGGTATCATTTATTATTTCTTTAGCATTTTCTTTACCACATCTTATAATTATTTTATTTATATCATATTATATTATATTATATTACATCTCTCAGTGCACTAACCAAACACCCCATCAGATCCATGGGATTTTGAAATACATGCTATTTCCTTGCCCCTTCTCGTCTCTTTTTGCCATCTTCTAGGAAAGAAAAGCTGCTTATCCAGTGTTTACACTCTAGCTAATCAAAGTGTAGCTATAGTGTTAAATCAGGACCAGTGACCAGATCAACCAGAAATTTAAATCTTAAGGATTACAAACTGAAACTTGTGATATAACCTGCTTGTTTTGAGGCTAATAGATGGGTAATTACTGTGATTCTACTACAGAGAATGGAACCAGTACTACTACTCCTACTACTACTCCCAATCCACCAACGACACACTCAAACTCCTCGAGTACTTCTTCAAGTAAGTCTCAGAAACTATACGATTTTTACGTCTGTCTTGTAATGTACAGAAACATCAGTAACCGATTTCTGAACTTTCATCTCAGCTGTAACTGTCACAACAGTCAGCCCGACAACCGCCCCTCACAAGAACTCGACCTTTGATGCCGCAAGCTTCATCGGTGGGATAGTGCTGGTCCTGGGGCTGCAAGCCGTCATCTTCTTCCTCTACAAATTCTGCAAGTCCAAGGACCGCAACTACCACACCCTTTGAAAAGCTCGCACTTGACCTATCCTCGCCAACTAGACCCTTTCAGAGAAAGCTCCCTGATCAGCACACACTCATCCACGTGGTCTCAAACAGTGTTTTCAAGCAGGTTAATTTTGTAATCAATCATCTTTGTGGCACTTGTGATTCTAGCGTCCCTTAGTGCTGCTGTTGTAGTCACTATAGAGGAACCCACGCATGCCCGTATGTGTGATAAATCAACAGCCAAACAGATCCTCAGTGACGAGGCATTCAGGCCTTGAGCATATGGATTACATCATCCGGTAGCTGCTCCCACCTCCATCATGCAGTTACTCATTTCTGCAAAGACCATTTCCCAGTGAATCTGAAAGGAAGGGGGGTTGTGTTATTTACAGCCTTCCTTCTCATACCTTCGTCAGTTAAATAGGCCACATAAGAGTTAAAAGAATTAGCCATGTATACAAAGCGGCTCAGGAGTCGTACAGCTACAGAGGTCACGTTGATTTGGAAACACTGTTTGAGATCACAACTGCTCTTTAACACGACGACTTTGATGATTCAGTTTTGCTTTTGCCCTGTTAAATTGTGGTTTCCTCCCCTCTGTGCAGCTGTATTATGTATATTTGTTCATAGATGATGTAAAAGAGGCGGGGATTCTTTTTTCTTTTTTTTTTTATTTAAAAGGGGGATAAAAGCAGAACCAAATCATCCAATGTCGTGGATAAAACAAAAAAACAGGCTTATTTATTGATGGGTGTCTCCAGTAACATTTAGGAGTGCTGTGTGTTTTCTCCTGCTGAATCCTACCTTTCCATCCTAATATTCAAGATGTTAAAACACCAACTGCCAGCGGGGCAGCTCAGTGCAATAAATCATGTATCGAGCTCATTTCCCAGCCATTAATCTCCCAAACTTCCTGATCTTAACCGGTGTCAAATTGTCCATGCACGGGTTGCCAACGTGGAGCTGGCTGTTCTATTCTGTGGAGTAATTGAAAGGATCAAAAATTAATGATGGTAGAATATTTGTTAAAAACGAGAATGGGGAAGTTTTGGGTTGTTGTTGTTTTTTTAATAGTAAGTACATTTCTTGATGTAGACAGTGAAAGCAGTGAAGTGCCTTTAATGTCCTATATGACTTAAAGAGAAGGAGGGGTGAGTGTTTATTAGTTTATAAGAGAGAGAGAACTGTATCGCCGTGAGAACCATCGTATTGCAGCTGGACTGAAGAGCCTTTAATGTTGGTGAATACAGTAGATGGTGATAACAGGAGGGCCTGGGTCTTTTTTTGGGGGGTGGGGGGGGTCCACTGTAAGTTAAACAGATATTCAGTGCATGAAACCCACAGTTACTTCAGTGGTAACTTTGTAGAAAGTACTTAAAGGTACTCTAGCATCTAATTTACCCTCTAAAAGCTCGCAATTCATGTTTTCCAACTTCAACCAGGGAGGGGGGTTTAAAAGGGGGGTGGAAAACCGAAAGAAGAAACGGGGAGAATATTGGGCGTGTTTAAAAACTTGAGAATCCGAGAGAGTGAATAGGGGTAAATGTTGGACTGTTTTGACTGTTTTGTTGTTTTTGTCAAATGAGCATCGCACCTCTTGATTTTGGATTTTTGCCATGTTAAGTGAGAGGATTGTGAATGAAGAAACAGCTTGGTGGCTGTGCTTAAAGCTTGTGCCGATTCCTCTGATTAGCTTGCTGCTAACTGTGATTATTTTCTTATTTCTCTTGTACATAGCCACATCCTGTGTTGTTGTTGTTGTTGTTGTTGTTGTTTTTTTTGTTGTTGTTTTTTTCCTGAGTTGTTGTTGTTGTTTTTGTTTTGTTTTTTTCTTGTAGTTGCTTGCCAGTGTCAGGAATGTTTTCTTTAAATGCCTTTTTCCCCTCTTGCATGCTGGATGCTTGGAGTTGTTTTTTCCTTCCTTTGCATATGCTCTTAGGGATTTCAGTATACTTTAAAAAAACAAAACACACACACACACACACACACTTGATTATTTGTGATTAGCCCATATGCTAGTTGAAAGAATGCCTTGCATCAGTGTGCATCAAGCCAAAGTTCTCAGTTTAGGCATGGAAATTGAGCGTTGCACTGACGAGCTTTGTTTTCTATCTTTGCTTTTGTAAATGTTTTCATGGTTTAGCCAAAAAGGAAAAAAAGAAAAAAAAATGCTTGTATAAATATTCGTCCTGAAATATTACTAGATAATGAATGAATGATCAGCTTGTTTTTTAAGACATTCAGTGGAAATGTTTTTCTTCTTATTGTTTGATTTGGTTTGGGGTTTTTTTTGCTTACGTGATTTTTGGATTACACGTTTTCTGCTGCTCACCATTAACACGCCTTTAAAACCTACAGTCACCTGATGGCATTAGGCTACAGCCCAAAGACCCATGTGTGGCAGGTAGGCTGCAGAGTTTTTTGCCTTAGCTGCACCCCTTCGTTCACTCTCTGTACGTGGAGTCCCTTCGGCCAATTTAAAAGAAACATTTGAGTTCATTCCCAGCTGCTGAGTGGGCTGCTGTGCAACTCTGTTCAGCGTGGTCGCTGCGTTCCTTACAAACCATCAAATGTTGATATCCATGGATAACTGATCTCCATTGTGTTTACTCTGCAACTTCTACAAGATACCTACGCAGTCCCTGCACCTTTTTAAGGAAAAGTGCCTTATTCAGTTGATTTCATAGATATATCTATAGATATATAAAGTTGTATTGCAAAATGATATGCCACATGTATTAAGTAACGATGGGACTCAGCACTTTCAGGCCCCTGTGAAGTGGTTTTCTGTGTCGTATTCTGCTTAAATGTCTGTTTATGTCACAATCGGCCTTAACTTCTTGATCAAACGAGCAGTGATAAGCATGGTGGGGCGGAAGGGAGAGGTTGACTGTGTTCCATTCTTTCAAGCGATGCCATTGAAGCAGCATTTTAAGTATACAGCAGAATCAAAGGTGCTGCTTTAGTGATGTGAATCCTTTACGTTTCAGCTTAATAAAGCACGCATGTGGCCTGGACAGCCTCTCACCCGCGTATAGAGATAAAATTCACCAGTAAAGTTGCAACCACAGCCACAAACCTCTAGCGTTGTAAAGTCACACTTCCTCCACGCTGCAAATGGTCACATGGTGACTCCACTTTGGTTCTAATTTGCAATTGCTGTATCAGATGACCTTGCTTTCTGTCTTTTGTAAGATTTCAAATTCAAAATCCAAACTCGTTTGGTTGCGGAGTTCTCTCATATCAGTGTTCTGCTCAGAGAGAGAGATGTGTATGTTTTATTTTATTTTTTTCCTCCTTTCTCTTGTGGGTTTAATGCTTTTGTTTGTTTTTGTTAAAGGCCATCAGTCTTGTAGGTACAACCTTTGGGCTTTCCCCTCTCACACAGCCATATGTAGACTCCTGCAGGTGCCAGAATGCCTCCTAAAAAGTTTTGTGCTTATTTTGTGCCCTTCTTTTCTCCCACTTCCTCTTAAACTTTGTTTTGTTTTGGGGGTTTCTTTTGGTTTTTTTGCCTCGTTTCCTAGTGTTGCCTTTTAATTTCACAATGTTAAACCAATAAAGTTTGAATATTGTAAAATGAATCACTGCAGCGTAACATTTGCTTGGGAACTCGTCATTTACATCAGTGGAAAGACGATACCTGGGCAGGTCTTGTAGAGCGCTTGTCACCATGGTTACAGTTGAAAAGCCATTTAAAAGGTGGTGTATCAGTTTCTGTGTGAGTATAAGTAATACTGGCTCAAATTCAGAAGGACAGATTGTCCTGATAAAGAGGTAGCGAGCATAAATGCAAATTTATGCAGAAATTCAACACTAATGGCAAAATTATCAATATATTTTACATTTTCTTTCATAGTTCATGGAGTGACTCCATATTGTATGGGTTTCCACATTGACAAGTCAAAGATCCTTGATTTGAGCCCAGGAGTAGACCCAAATCCCCTTTTTGAGGTTGCTAAATCAAACATGTAGACAGCTGGTGAATAAGGGAGCAGCTGTCACGACCATTTATATTTAAAGAAAAGAAAAACGAAACCCAAAAACCTAATTTGATATATGAAACGCATACTAGTTTTATTTATAGCACCAAGACCCAACAATGATACAGAGAAAACCTCAACAATCGGGCGCTGTTGAGCGAGCACTTGGTGAGAATAGGAAGGAAAAACTTCCTTGTCAGTTCTCCCAACCCTGAATGTTAATTGTTGACTTTAGAAGTGACCATAACGGAAGCACGGGCCTTATTTCAGTATATATGCTGTATATTTAATCAGGTCTTTGGTTTGTGTGGGTCTCTTTAAATTGACAATAGATGCAAAATGACGAACACAATAACTTTGCTTATAACAGTATCAAGACTTTCTGTCAACATCTAACAGTCTGAACACATTGGTTTCTGTTTAAAGCTTCTGCTAAGGTGAATTAATCCTGCTTGTTTTCCATGGGTGGATAAAGATCTTTACTGAGCGTGTGCATATTGAATTTCAGCATTCAGCTTGTTTCTGTTTTGAGAAACTGAGAGTTACGCTGTTACGGCAGTTTTCTATTTTCAGACTTTAAGCGAGGTGATTGAGCACATAGCCCAAAATGTTACTATAATCTGGAACCATAAAATTTTTAATTTGTTTGTCTGAGAAACTGTCCCAACTTTCGACCAGCTTCACCTGCTCCTTTAGGTGTGTTGCTCTCTGTTTACTTAAGAGTCCAGTGGAAAAAGTACACTCACTGACACACATGCTTTCTTTGTATTGCCCATACAGGATCCACTCCAATCCACCCTGCCCAATCCCTGCTCTCAATTTTCATTTCCTTGTGTATCAGGGGCTCATGACCTACTGTGAGGCTGATGGGTCATAAAGTGATTATATGGATAAGAAAGCAAAAACAAAATGTGCATAAAGTTCATTCTTTCACTTCTTCAAGACACTAAGAACCTCTTCAGTGAAGCAGCTCAAGGTCAACCCTTAAAGTCTTGGCCTCAACACAGATCCCAATGTAGAAAAGTTAGAAAATCACTGTGGACTGTACACAGACAGGAGAAGCAGACTCCAGTGGAGCCATTATCCACAAATGAAGAAAATTTGAAACAGTGGTGAACCTCATCAAGAGTGATCGGTCTACCAAAATTAGTCCAAGACTGCATCACTGACTCATCCAAGGTAGTCACAAAAGAACCCAGAAGAACATCTAAAGTATTGCAGACCTCATTTGCGCAGTTCTAACATTATTCATTATTCAACAGTATGAAAGTGACTGGCAAACATGGCATCCATGGGAGAGTCCAAGCAGAAAACCACTGCTCACACCCAGTTATTAGGTTTAGGGGCAATAACTTTTTCTTTAATAATTTTCACACAGCCAAGTAGGTTTGGACCATTTTTTTTTTCTTTAATAAATGAAATCATCATTTAAAAACTGCACTTTGTATTCACCCAGGCTGTCTTTGTTTAACATTAAAACTAGTTTGATCTGAAATATTAAAGCTGTGAAAAACATGCAAAAAAAAAAATTCCATAGACCTGTGTGTAAATAGTTTTACAATCTTGCAGCTCACTGTCACACTGTCTTTGAACGTATATACAACACAAAGCTGAGGTAACCTTTCTCAAAGTCTCCAAAAATAACCCAGTATGTCATAAAGTATAAAGAATGACTAACACTTGCTTAACGACTGTGTTAACTATTTTTATCATTTCTAACATTGACTGTTTGTGTTTCACAAGCAGCTACAAACCTTTGAAAAAGCAGCAGGTACAAAGTGTACTGCATGTCACGTACCATAACCTGTGAATAAAAACCAATGTTTCACACCACCACCCACCAGGGCGCACATAGTTTCTCGGGTCATAGGAAAGTTTTGCTTATGTGGTAAAAACCGAAGCTCTGAAGACAATCAGTGAGCATGTGCACACTCAAGACTCACGGTCCGATGGTCTACGCTCTCGAAGAAGCTGCGTGTTTATTTTTGTCGAGCAGATTGTTATTTTTCCAGCAGCCCTGGCAGAGAGGCTTTTCCACAACCAACGCGATAATGGTTTTGGTCAGTTAAAAGCAAAATCAGCAGCCCTATACTTACTCTTTTCAGGGGCAAACACTGTGTTGCTCTGTCAGGAACATCTCTGGGCCTTTTACTAGAACGTGGAAAATCCCCCCACACACTGGGAGATACTACTTTTGGATTTTTCCTCTCTAAAATTTTAAGAAAATACTGCAGTTGGAGCAACTGCTAATCAGACAAACAAGGGATGTGCAGTCACAAGGTATCAAAGTTGCAGGGTCAGGAGAGTGGGTGGAGCTGCTGCATAAGTGGACATGGGTTGGGTCTCTAGCTAACCTGATTGTTGTGTCCAGTCATGCTGTGTAATCTAATATGGGAGGACAGAGAAACAATGCATTAGGTGTAGTCTCTCCTCTCTTGCAAACACGAGCTCAGTGCATTGTTTAA